ACTATTAACTGTTTTTACATATCGCTACCGAGAGACTGTCGTTATTATTTTATGAATAATTATTACTTGTTTTTGCTTGCATATTTACTTAATCTGTCACATATAAGTTGATGGAATTCGACATGTTGACTGTACCTGTGCTTGGATTGGCAGTCATAAAGATAATAAACAATAACCTTATACGTGCGGCAACTGTAACTCTGTAATCTTCATCATTTCGCGCAGGGGTCTTTAGTTCAAAATAATTTAAGAGATTAGAAAAATCATTTTTAACCACGGTTTCATCGACGTCCAACACAAATAATATTTTCATGAAAAGATAAAATTGTAAGTTTACCTTTTGCGTCGCTTAGAGATATTTAAAGTAGTTTATTGTGATTTTTAGGGTTCCGCGCCAAAAGGGCAAAACGGGACACTATTACTTTCGCTGTCTGTCAATCTGTCTCTCTGTCTCTGTACGTCTGTCACCAGGCTGCATCTCGTAAATCGTGACAGTTAAAATTTTCACAGATGATGTTATTTATTTAAGATTTCTTTTGCCGCTATAACAACAAATACTAAAAAAATAAAAAAAAAATATTTAAGTGGGTCTCCCATACAAAAAAAAAACATGATTTTTTTTGCCGTTTTTATAGATGGTACGGAACCCTTCGCGCCGAGTCAGATGACCGGTTTTTTAAAAACATCAATTTCTCGTTGTTTTCTATGTTGACATACCCTACTAAAACACTTTCTGCCTGCCTCTTATTTATTGTTTAAAAGGCTTAAAGTCCCAATTAAGTTTATGTTTAAGCAATTGTAGTGAATTTTGGAAGGTTTAATTTATCGGTGTCTCTAGTCCCATACTAACTTACTACGGTCGAAAACTCTAAAAAACATACAAAAAGTGAATGGCATTTATGGGTATGATTTTCGCAAAAAAACACCAATTCCTTTCAAGCAGGATCCGCAAAGCTGTTGAAATACAGGAAAATCCTAATTTAGTTAAAGGTAGGCGGAGTAATTACAAGACAAGAACCCTGTAATTTATAAATAAAATTCAAGCACACTAGCAATGTAAGAGATGGATACTGTGAGGTCATTGCGTATAGATGAAATGATAGAACAAAATAAATAATCAAAAAGTTGATGGTAACTTGACTTACCTATGAATGACCAATGATGGATTTGATTGCCACCTCCTACTCGCTGTAAAGCCGAAAAGTTAAGTGAAGTAGGAAAATGGTAACTCATCATGGCTGTTTGATTTATTAAAACTCTTACGGAATATCGTCTACGAGAAGGGGCGAAGGGCGAAAGGCGCTACTGCTAAAAATTTCCCACCAAGTTTTGCCGCACCAATAGGGAAGTACTGGGCCTATAGGATAATCCGCTCTTGACTATGACAACAGCATATAAAAGAACTTTATCCGTTCTGCGACTATAGATATTGTATTTTAAACTATTTGAACGCGACACAATCCGAAAACACTTTTAATTTACGAAATCATTATTTTAACTTTATCAAAAACTTTCTGAAAAATAACGTAGATTCGCCATCATCCAGTATAATCGACAGGGCCTTACCATTTTCTTTTACGAAGCATTTGAAAACGAAGTTAAATCAATTCTAATTTCAATCAAATCTGGATTCGTTTTCAAACATCTATAAATCACAAACATCTATAAATTGGGTATGGCAGTTTTGGACAACGGAAATGACTGAAACCTTCCAGACCAAACTGATTTTTGCTTCAACTCATTCAATGCGTGAATCGAATCTATGATCGCTTAATGTCAATTGAGATGACCGTTGATGCAAGACTCAAGTACATGCACAATTGTTTTAAAATTAAATTTTGACATAACAATCGCTATGAAAACCTGTCATTATATAGTAAAATAAGCCCTGTTGAAGATTGATGTATACATCACACATTTTGTGTGGAAGGGGTTGGGTTATAAGTTGTTTTACGGTGAGAGGGCCACGCAACATTATTATCGCTTTTGTAAATGTACTTTATAAGCACAGACATTTGTAATGATTATTAAAAATCTGTAAGCTGCACGAATGGGCAGGTCCGCCCAGGTAAGTACCATGACCTCACAGAAGACCGGCGTAAAGTAGAAGTGTTACACTTCTGCGTTTCGTCTGGTAAGTGAGGTAGCCGGCGCCCATTTTATTTAAAAGTGGCAACGCATTTGCAGCCCTATGTGTGTTGCAATTCTCCATGGGCGGCAGTTATCACTTAACATCAGGTGAACCGCCAACTCGTTTGCCACTTTCTCATATAAAAAAAGTACCAACGATGCGACCTATAAAATCTATTGTACTCTTCCTGTTTATCTGATTACTCTTGTCTGATTACTCACTCTTCCCTATAACATTATCCTGTGTTGTAAGTTGTAAGGACGATTTACATACCTAAATTTCACGTGGACAAATACCCAGATCCGAAACAATTATTTGTGGGTCACACAAATAGTTGTCTCGTGTGTGAATCGAACCCACGACCTTAGCGCAGTTAATACGTTGGCATCCGCGCCTTCAGGTGCTATTAAGTAAGCAGTGTGAAAAGTTAGCAATTCATTTCGCTAGATGAAAGCTTATTGCAATCCAGAGACTTCAGTAAGGCTTTTTCTACGTTACAAGGACCTGATAACTGCATCAGGAGTGGATATAAAATTAAAAGGGTCAGAACCAAGTATTTTCAAAGGCGCAATTAGGACACAAAAAGAAGTAAGTTTCCTTTGACTATGTACTTTTAGTTTCTATGATAAATTAGTATTAGTCTTTAATTATTCATTGCTTTATATTAAAAAAAATGTTTTATTTAATTAAGTTGTACTTTTCATAAGAAACGTGCGTATTGTATAAGTAAAACTGTTATATTATTAATTGTTTACGTATTTTCCAGCATTCCATAATCCATTTTGATTTTAACTTCCGACGTTTCTAAACTTTACAAGGCTCCATGAGTACGTGGCTATGATTGTGGCTGTGTATGGCTATATGCACTTAAATAGAGAATAGAACGAGTTACGATTTAAGCCTTCGTTTATTATTCAGTAATGATGCTCGTCTAATTTGTACAATTGATCGATCAATTCTACGAGGAGTGACGCTCTATTGTTCTCGCGATAATGTGTCGATGCTAGCAAAGGAATTGTTTTGCATTGGAATATAATGTTTTAGCTTACTAGTCAAAATTCTCTTTTTACCTATTATTATTCTCAATTGATTTATCGCATCATTATCTACTGTATATTCGTATGTATCAAAACATGTTTTGTAGAGTTTGCATTGTTTTTAGTTAGTTGGTAAATTCTCCTCTTTACAGTTTATTATGCTTTCATAAATAGTACCGAGGTCAGTAGTATAGCTATTATTGGTATTGAATTACATATTGTTTTGTTAACGGTTAAGATATTAAACATCTTAAAGCATAATTTATTTCAAATTTCAAGTCTCATACAACTCATTCTAGTTTCTTATTTTTGGCTCTTGTAATGTATTAGCACAGTAAAAAAGACACAGTTTTAAACGATTTAGTACAGAATATAAAAAACATTGAAGAGCTTCACTATCACTACATAGTATAAAACAAAGTCGTCCCGCTGTCTGTCTTTCTGTCCCTATGTATGCTTAGATCTTTAAAACTACGCAACGGTATTGATGCGGTTTCTACTAGATAGAGTGATTCAAGAGGAAGGTTTTTATGTATAAAACATTGCACCCGTGCGAAGCCGGGGTGGGTCACTAGTACAATATAAGTACCATGTTCTACCAACGGTGGTAGGGCCACGCAGCAGCGTCGGCTGTTGCACGAATGGGCAGGCTCGTCCGAGTAAGTACCACGACGTAACAGAAGATCGGCGTAAAGTGAGGTAGCCGGAGCCCAATTTCAAAAGGTTGTCAACGCATCTGCAACCCTCGGGTTTAGCGAATGTCCATCGGCGGCGGTATTCACTTAACATCATGTGAACCGTCTGCTCGCTTGGCAACTTTTCACATAAAAAAAAGTGAATCGGTTGCAAAGGTATGAACTGTAATAATTCTTATAATTTTTTTGTATATAATACGTGTCTGATACACGTTCATCATAGTTAGGGAATAATGACGTGTTTGTACAATTATTAAAAATACTTGCATCGAACCTCTGCATTACTTACAGGGTAGGATTTTATACTATAATTATAGTATTTGTACTATAATTTCATGCTTCGTACTATATACTATCCATACCTAAGGATAGTACAGAAAAAAACTATAATTTTGTTAATTTACTTAAATGACCAATATAACATTAAAAAAGGTTCATTGGCTTTTAATAACGTTGTAAAGTTACGATGTGTCAATGTAATTGTCAATTATTACCACGAATTATAAACAATGTTTATCAATGAACTATTTACGGGGACTTCCCGTTAAACATACTTTTTCTTTCGATATTTCGCTTGTTGAAGAGTAACTTTGCATATTGCAGAAGTAGGTAACAGACTTCATAAATGTCTAATAGTATGACTACTACTAAAATTAAAATAAGAAATAAACATAATTAAAAAAATATTTTATTGTCTAGTGGCGCTATCAAAAATTGTAAAAAATTGGGAATTGTATTGATTTTATTTCTACTGAGGATATATTAATATGATTAAAATGTAAGGATGAAACTAATATGAACTTGGAAAAGGAATAAATTATTGCATGTTAAAATCAAAATTTAAAAAATACTTTATTACAAATACTATCCTTTTACATTTTTTGTACTACCTTTTTCATCATACCTAAATCCAACCCTGATACGAACAAAGCCGCGCTACACTGTGCAGTGTGCACGCTACTTTGCGACGCGACGTCACACACGTGCGTCCGCCAGCGTACGTCGTTTTGAGTTTGCGTACGCGCAGTTGTGCGGAAGAACTCGGGTTGTGTGGTCGTTGTATGGCGCGTTTTTATCGATGCTTCACGTGATTCGAAATTAGCATATTGTTTGAAATCGTCGCTAATTTAAATCAAAATGGCCAGTAAATCCAACGGCGTGGAAGGATCCGAGTGGGCCCGGGCCCCACCGCCAACTGGTACCTGTATGGGCAGAGTAGCCAAGATCTTCTATGACCCCAGCGACGGAAGCATTTTAGGGAGGACGCCAAAACGATGGGGTGAGGTTTTTCTGTTGAATTTTGATTTTTACACACAAATTGCGTTGAGGTACGCCGTAGGTCGCTGACCTACTATTTGAAAATAAATTAAAGTGTTAATATTGCCATTAACCATTGAAATGTATTATAATACTTATATTTTAGTGAATTGATTTATTTTGATTAATAAATTTTAAATAATACATATGAGATTGTATTCGAAATGAAATAGCTGTGACCCTATTCAAAAATATAAGACTGTAAATTTTAATGTGCCAAGTGCATTGATATTGCTTTTTATAGGACGGTTATGAAATTGCTGATATTAGGAAGAATTCAGACATTTGCCTTATTCCCAATCTTTCAAACAAACTATAAATTTTTGAAAGTTAAATTATTACACGATTACGACGAAGCGTTGTTGGCAAGATGCCGCCAGAACAACGAACGACAATTTTGTGATTTTAATTAATATTGTAAAGCACGCTGCATCCTATATTAATAATTAAAAAAAATCTAAGCCTTAAATGAAAATACGCAATACTAACCAATAAATTTTAAGAGATTGTTTACAAAATGTTTTTTCATGTTGAGAATTGCAAGGGTAACACTTTCAGGAGTAGATTAAATTTCGCCGACTCAGTTATGTTACGCTCCGCATGAATGCGTCCGTACTGTAATCATCACATGAATGAACATGCGCATTTTATAATTACTTTTTTATTATTCTGATTGTTATTCTCCTATAAATGGAGATGTAAATTTAGTTTTAAATGGCTTAGCTAAGTGAGTCCATTCGTTTTTATAATAGCTTTCTGTCCCGCCTTCGACCAGGGTCAGGAATAAGATTAATAATGTAAAAGAAACATTTTTCAGATCAATGCCAGATTAACTATTATATTCGTGATGGCGATATCGTAATATCGATAGCGTAAAACGAATATTTGTTACATATAAACGAATATCCATATGGATATTCGTTTGTTTTAATTAATACCTTTCGGTGTCGTTACCGTATTTTTTGGTGTGGCTAACACTGCGTCTAAAATCGAATATTGTATGTAAGTTGTAAGTTGTAATATGTGATTGTTAGAACACTCTGTGTAGCTGTGGCAACCAACGATTGAAATGTAGACGAGTGATTTGAGGTCTGCTGTTCCGGCATACTGGAATTCCCTGTGGTATACTAGAATTTGAATCTCTTACGTGGAATATAAGAACTTATTTGTATGCTTTTGTATTATTTTTAATGTTATTTATTATGTATTCCTTATTTGTATATATAATTAAGTAATATATATATTTGTATATACATATATCATATATTTATTCTCCTTCATAACTTAACATTTTGTCACCAGCCCAGGTAAGAGGTTGTATGGTAGATAAAGGAGTTAAGTGCGTCCTTTGTTACCTTTTTTATTTTAGTTTGATAACTAATCCTAAATAAAAAAGTGTGTGTACATAGTACATGTACACGCGTTAGAAGTTATACTTATATAAATATCGTGAATACAGTTGTCAGTTCTCACGCAAACATACGTAGTTTAGCTAACTTCAGGGTGTCGGTTTTTCGTGACGGTGTGCGCGAGCATCATAAAATTTACTTTCATCATTTTTCCCTAAAGCCCCAAAAGAAGTATAAGTCCCAATATTTTGCGTACGGTAGATGGCTCGATCGGTTTGCACGTAGATGGTAGGCTTACAGGTAGAGTGGAATACTTTTTTTGAGTAAATATTAAGTACACTGGTTATTAAAGGTAGTAAAAACTACATTGTGTCAAAATAAAGTACGATTTATGTTACTTTATTATTTTGCTTTATAAAATATTTTATTAAACTTTTAATAAATAACCGTCACTGCTGCCGCACATCATTTTTATAGTCTACGTTAAGGTCGATCTACCTAAATAAATAATGCATTTTTATCAGATTCAGAGAAGCTTTGTTTCTTTCGTTTTGCTATTCAAAACAGAAAAAGTTGACGTGATGGGAATCGGCAAATAATTAAAAAATTTGAAAAATTATCAACAATCTTAACGAATATTTGCTGTCAGCAGACAATGCCGCAAAAACTATAGAATATATACATACCTATTAATCCAGGTGCTAAGAACAGCACAATAAATATTTGTACGCTCGTCTAGAGCAAAAAACATGCGATACTTAATTTTATGACATAACATCACGTTGCATTTTGTACAACCATGTTTTTTACAAATAAAAAGTTTATTATTATTATTATTTACTAGCTGACTCGGCAAACGTTGTTTTGCCATATAAATTATCACACCTGAGTCTGAATTTTCGGAACGTCCCCATAAAATGTTGTAAGTAGGAACAGTTTCTATGGGAAAATAAAATCGTTGCTTTTCGATTTTCCATGCAATTTATATAATTTCTCATCGTTTAAACCTTCCCTGGACTGGCACAAATATTTCAAAATCAAAATAAGCCAAATTAGTCCATCCGTTCTCGAGTTTTAGCGAGACTAACGAACAGCAATTCATTTTTATATATATAAGATTATTTACCTATACCATTATATAATTTGTTTAATATAGAAATTTCTCCAGAAAAATAAAGTTTTTGCAGTTTTTATGTTTATAAAATTATGAAATTTGACATTGCTTTTTTAATTTATGTTGTTAAGTGTAATTTTAAGGCTATGCTACTAATAACCAATGGAAAGTTTATACTACCAACCTTGTATGTTATGTAAATTGAATTTCATAGAAATTAAGTATTTGCGTCATTTTCTTAACTCCGGGCGCGTTAACAAAATATCATTGGTCCTCATAAAGTATATAGTACTATTACTCGAAATAACGTACAATATAGGGTTGCGGTACCCGTACCTTACAATAAAGTACAGTTGGCAACCCTAGTCCCGGCGTCGCGCGCCTTGAGATGGATTCGCGGGAAAGCGGGATATTACATACATGGATAATTGTTCGGAATGTAAGTATTAGTACGTGTTTTTGTGCACGTAAAACGAGTTTAGGGAATATCTAATAACCTCTTTCAATTACGAGAAGATTATAAAAGTATTTTTACAAAACTAGTTAGCGGATTCCATCGCGGTTGTTCGGTGTCGTATTTCTTTCCGATTTTGGAATCGGGTCCTTCTTTTCCCCAACGTTCCATGTGAGTACGTTATGATGATAAAATAAGTAGCAGTGCTCACAAACAGTAGGTGGTACGCGATAATAACAAACTTCTAAATACTTTTCTAAGTGCACGGACTCCGGAAGTGTTGCGGAATGTATGTAGTTCGGCGGTTGTTCAGCTGAAATTTTAATCAAGGCCAAGGGAACGTCGTCGGTGGGCGAGGCTACACGTCATACCTTTTTACAGATTCGCTTCGGATGGTCTGGTTTAAATATAACCGTTTACTTTCGTAATAATCCTACAGTGGAGTTCCGTCGAAATATTACAGTGTAACTCAGTCGAAATACGCCCTAATTCCTATATTAATCTATCTAACTGCTAGTCGGTGTTAAAATTTGACAACCCTATTTGAATATACAATACATGGCAAAAATATGACAAACTTAGACATTATATATATGGACTATCGATATATTCACTCAAATCAAAACTGTTGATTTCAAATCTCATAATTTTAAGTAATTTAATGTGAACTTAAGCATTCTTTTCAAGGTCAAAATTTCTTTATTCAACATAGGCTTATTTTAAGCTCTTATTGAAGGTCAAAAGCTACCATGGTTCACTAAAATAGACCTGCCAGAGAAGAACCGGCAGGAAACTGCGGTCTAGTTCTCTTTTTTATATTTACGGTATAAAATCAGCAGCAGCCAGGGTTCTTGCAAGTGCAGAGCAAGAGTCATTTCTACACATACTTGTCCTCGATGTATTCTTGGACATTATAATAGGCCCTTGCTATTAGGGTAGCTTTTACAAATTGTTTGAAATTAATATACTTATTTAATATTGCCTATCTATTTCAATTTTGATTTTTTTATTGATTTTTTTTTAGTACTTTCAGAGATTACCAGTTAAACGCTAAGAAATAAACTATGAACGATTTTTTTTTCAAAAATAAAATATATTCATGTTGTACATGTTGACTTAAGAAATAAGGTCTCCTGCTTGAATCATAGCGGCCCAAACTGTTTTAATTTTTCGCAAAACCCCTATAGTCTGCAAATTTTTTCATGGCTAGTTTCGAACCTATGAACTTTTTTTCTATATGACAAGGTGGCAAGCGAGCTGGCGATTCACCTGATGTTAAGTGATAGTAGGGTTGCAGATGCCTTGCCACCTTTCAATAAAGTGGGCTCCGGCTATCTCACTCACCAGACGAAACGCAGGACTACAACACTTCAACTTCACGCCGGTCTTCTGTGAGGTGGTACTCCCCCGGACAGACCTGCCCATTCGTGCAACAGCGATGACTGTTGCGTGGCCCTACCTCAGTTCATGCCACGAACCACGGTCCTGGTCGACCACCATCCATCGACTTCCCGCACACTTGGCCTTATCATGTATCTGAACCCTTAAAAGATCATTACTCACGCACTGCCTGTTTTAGTTAGACCTAATAGCGCTTTACAAGTCAATTAGGGCGTGAAAGCTTGTATGTGTATCTTAAAAATACAATCCGATGCTGGGTGACTCGTTAATGACTACGATAATACCAAGGTCACTGCCCCAAACCTGTCAGTCTTTCAAACTACATGTTTACACTTTCTTGATAAACAGCGAGTGCAACAGTGTGATGGTTTCGATTATTAATTCGTGACCCCTCTTCGCCTATGACATTAATCAGTTATAGTTTTAATTATAATTATAATTAACAACTTATCGAACGCTGTAATAAGAGATGATTGTCTCTTTTAATTTATGTTCTTATTTATTGGCATATTTTACGAGATGGAGTGACCTGTGCAAAAAGTCGATGGGAGCAGGCAATCTGTGGGGGAGGCATTTGTTCAGCAGTGGACTCAAACAGCTCGAAATGATATTTTGCTGTAATTGTTTTATTTAATTGTAAATTT